GGATGTCCCAGACTTAAGTTTTCCCTGCCTCAGACAATAGAGTTATTTCTCTACTTAGTCATGTTTTATTTCATTGAGTAATAGTATTTATGAACCATGATTTAGGTGCTAAGCAGATACCTTTCTTCCCCCCCCCCCAGAATGTCATTGCTTCTGGGCATTTTTTCCAAAGATATTCATAGAAAATATGTGTATGCATAAACATATACAAGTAAGCATACATATATCTCCATTTCTATAGTTAGTTATCCAATAGATACCTGCTGATCTATAAATTGGTAAATAGATAATACAGTAGGCTGAATTCTAAAGACTGCCCTCCCTAAGATTCTTATTTCCAGTTATTTAATCAAACATTAATGTAGGTACCATGACAGGGGGGATTTTTGTAAGTATCATTAAACTCCCAGATTTATTTATTTATTTACTCATTTCTGAAACAAGGTCTTGCTTTGTGGCCCCCCCAGCTCTGGAACAAGCATTCTTTCTGTGCCACCATGCCTGGCTTCATTTGATCCTGAGAAACACTATTATGAGAGACACAGGCTACTTAAGTTCTTTAAAAACAGTTCATCATCAGGGAGCAGAAAAGGAAGTCAGAGTTTTAAGGCACAAGAAGCGCAGCAGCTGCTGCTGGCCGGAAAGCGGACATAAGGAGCTTGTAATGGCCTCAACTGATAGCCAAAAGGAAGACACAGGTCTCAGCGCCACAACCACAAGAACTGAATGCTGCCAACAACCTGAATGAGCTTGGAAGATTCTTGTCCAGGCCTGCCAGATGGGCAGGCAGTCTTACAGACACCGTGACTTCGGCATCAGGGTACACAGTATATAGAGCCTGGCTGAGCTCCTTTGGATTCTGCAGAAGTCTGAGCCAATATAAATGAGTGTGACACAGCTTGTTACAGCAGCAATAGAAAACACATACAGACAGACATTGCTGCAAGTATAATAGAATTTAAATTTTTCCTTATAGACATATGTCATTCATAAGGAGCCCTGTGACAGTGAATATTATTATCAGCTTGACAGGAACTAATTTCACCTAGTATACGAGCTTGTCGGTATGCTTGTGAGGGATTGTCTAGTTGGGTTTGCACATAGGCCAATCTATAAGAGTTTATCGTAATTGAGGAGGGAAAACCTGCCCACCATGGGCAGTTCTATTCCCTGGGCTTGGGTCTTAGATTGAATAAAAAGGAATAAATCAAACTGAAGTATCATTCACCTCTCTCTGCTTCCTGACTGGAGATACAATGTGACCAGCTGCCCTAGGCTTTTCCCTCCATGACCTTCCCACCAGGATGCGGTGTACCCTGAACCTGGGAGCTAAAATAAACCTTATCTTAAATTGTTAGGTGTTTTGCCACAGAAATAAGTAACTAATACAATAATACAATTTCTTTTCAACCATATCTGACACTATGATGGTGGGGTAGGGTAGAGAAAGGGGTGTCCTGGGTGCCAGAGGAATTGGGATTTGTAGCCATACCCACTAGTCTCCCAGACTGGGAGAGGCACTGAAGACTGAGTTCAGTCACCAAGGGCTAATGATTTACTCTACCATGCTTATGTAATGAAACCTCGGTAATACATCCTAAACAACTGAGTTTGAGGAATTTCTAGACTCATGAACACATCCAGGAGCTGAGGCGGCTTGGAAGCCCTGGGTCCCCCCACCCCCCGATCTTTGAATCTCTTCCATTTGGGTGTGCTTCACTTGTGTCCTTTATAACAAAGTAGTCATGGTAAACAAAAAGCCTCGCTGAGTTGAGTGAATCTTTATAGCAAATTATGAAATTGGAAGAGGATGACATGGGACCTGTGCCCTCCCTGTTGTAGACAGTCAGTCAGAGTTACAGAAGCTATTCTGGAACCTGCAATTGGTAACTGAAGTGGGGACAATCTTGTGGGACCAAATTATTAACCTGTGGGTCTGCACTAATTCTGCTAATTCTAGGATGATTAGTGTGAGAATTGGATTGTAGAACACAGTGGATGTCCAGAGAATTGGAAAATTGGTTGGTATGAGACAACTCTTACACATATAACATCAGAAGCGTATGTGTGGAGAGAGCAACCCTTGTGTTTATTGGAGCACACATCTCCCACATATTTCTTTTTTTTTTTTCCTTTTTAGGCAGATGTTGTAAAGGAAAATATTCAATTTGGGAAAATGTAAAACATAATCACTTTTAATTATCGACACAGAATACATGGAATGTGTCTTGCTATCTATTAGAAAAATACCTCCTCACACAACTGTAAATGTGGCTGAAAGACAAGGACAAAATAATTATATATTCACCTCTGTCTTTCAATGAAGACAGAGAGAGCTTTCCATTTCAAATTTGTTTTGTTTTGTACCACATGTGGGTTAATTAGATAAAACCATGTCATGTGCCAGTTTCAATCAGCCTGAAAATAATCAGAAAACCAGGTTTGGCATAGTTTGTGCTGTTTTGGCTCAGACAAACAAAGCACAAAATGCAAATTGGCTCCAGAAAACAACATGGGTATTCCTGCCAGCTCTTCCTCCAAGGGATTCTTGGTAGCTGGCACCCAAGCAGCTGATCTGCTCCCGGTGACCATGAGACAAACCTACCGGGTGCAGAGACCCATTTTTCTCCCATTAGAAAGTGGCTATCTCCACGAAGAGCACTTACACGTGTTTTTGTTTGGTTTATCCCCTACTGACTTCCTTTGGGGTCGTGTGTGTGTGTGTGTGTGTGTGTGTGTGTTTAATTCCATGTAAGATTAGCCCTGAAACCATCCCACAGCCATATTTCCTTGTTGCAGCCAGGTCCCCCAAACAGCAAGGAGTTTCACTGTCCCCCTACATTAATGTGGAATCAATAGTATACCAGGAGATGAATATTTTGGCAAGTATCCGAGCAATATGAGGGGTAATCATTTTTAAATTAACCCAGTCCAGCTAGTTAACTTCTTTCATGTATTATTACACATTTTTTTCCATGTAAGTGGTGTGGCTTCAATACACAAGGGAACAGGGCTACACATCATCATGCCTTGTGGTTTGGATATGACGCTCCTGTCAGTCTTATTCATTAAGGGGTTGGTTGCCAGCTGATGGAACTTTACCAGTTGTTTGGATCATGAAAGCTCTTAATTCACCAATGGGTTAATTCAGTGGTGACTTCCTGTTCAAAGGTGGGTGTAGCTAGAGTTTTCCTGTCTGGCCCATAGTCAGGACAAATCTCTCTCACCCGCCAGTCCCACAGCCACTCAGACCCAACCAAGTAAACACAGAGACTTATATTGCTTACAAACTGTATGGCCATGGCAAGCTTCTTGTTAATTGTTCTTATATCTTACAGCTCACTCCATAGGAGGGTACTCATGCCTGGTGCTGTAAATGTAGCCATGAACCCATAACTGATGATGTCGTAGATGCTAGAGGAGAACCTACTACTAAATAGTTATAGTATCCATCTGCCTTCGAAATACTTATCCTCACACCATAGATTAGTGCAGCTCTCCCCTCCTCATCAAAGAAGCATCTTATTTCATCAGAGGCTACTCTAGATCAAAAGGTAGAGAATGAGCAACTCCTGGGTGCCTATCCATAATTGAGACACCATGTACAACAAAATCCTGATGCCCAAGGCTCAGGGAACGTTACAGAAGATGGGACAGAAACAGCGTAAGAGCCAGAGGACTGGGGTAGTTGACGCAAGATAGTGTCATCTGGAGATGACAGTGATACAGTACCCATGAACTCTCAAAAGCAGAGGTGCTTGCCCAAGACTGCACCAGTCAACGTACCGATGTGGGGGAGGGGGGGTTAATAAGGCTACCCTCTGATAAAAAACTACAGGGAGCCGGGCAGTGGTGGCACACATCTTTCATCCCAGCACTAGGGAGGCAAGGGCAAGCAGATGTCTTTGAGTTCAAGGACAGCCTGGTCTACAGAGCGAGTTCCAGTACAACCAAGTCAGTTACACAGGAAAACCCTGTCTCAAAAAAACAAAACAAAACAAACACACAAAAGCCACAGGGTTAATAGCTGATGGAGGAGGGAGAATCGGCCTCCTGAAAGATGATAAAATGGTCAGCCCTAAATGTATGTACATACCGACTACACTTATTGGATTCAGTAGGGTGTGTGTAAAACAATGCTCATTATAGAATAAGAGGTTATAGATTTGAGGGGGTTTGGGGGCATGGAATAGTTGGAGTAGAAATGATGTAAATACAGTATACTCACATAGGAAATTTTAAAAGAAATTGAAAAAACAGAAATAGTAATACCTTTGCAGAATTTACTAGATCCCAGGCAATTAGTTAAGTTCCTTTTTGTTGTTGTGACAAATAACAAAGAGAAAGAATTTTAAAAGGAGAAGGAGTTCATAGTGCATGGTTTCAGTGGCTTCTTTTTTTGTTGGCTGGACCCAATGCTGTAGGCCTGTATTAATGAAGAACAAAGTATAAGTTTGTGTTTGAAGAGGCTGCTCACCTCACAGTAGCCAAGAGGCAGAGAGGGAACCAGACACAAGCTATAAGCCCTAAGGACCCAATCCAGTAGTCTACTTTCACCAACTAGGCCCTACCGCTGAGAATGTCCAACACCTCCCAATAATACCATCAAATAGAAAATCCATCAGTGGATTAATCTATTGATTAGCTCAGTGCCTTCATGATCCACTGGCCAATTGCAACCAAGCCTTCCATTTATAAGCCTTTTGGAAGGGCACTTACTACCCAATCCATAATAGTCATCATTCTAAGACAGTTACAAAGCTAACTCATTTGCTGCATACAGGGGAGGTGATACTGCTAAGCAACTTATCAACTGATAAGGAAACATGCATAGAGAGGTTAAGACTCCCTGTTCTTTTACTGAAAGTCCTAACAGAACTTTAAACTCCCTTTTACTGAAATATTTCCAAAATATATACCAATTTCTGCCTGTGTTTTACAAGGCCCATTGAACATAATATAGCTTTGAAATGGTATAAGTAATTAAAAGAAAACCAATAGAAATTTAACACACCTCTCTTTTTTATTTCACAAAACAACATTTATCATCATTTTCAAGGAAGCCAGAGAAGTGAGTTTAGCTAAACCAAGAAGAGATCCTTGGGGGAGAGGAAAGGATTTCACTGCTTTTGTTTTCCTCGTTATTTGCTGGTAAGGTTGAGCCTGCTGAAGAACCAAAGGCTGAGGGCTGAGTGGTCACTGGGGATGAGATTTCTCTGGAACACTGGCCACTTCTGTAGAAGGAGATAACCAAGGCAGCAGTGGCAGGGAGTTTGGGAAAGTCTAGAAGCAGTCAATGATCTCTCAAAACCTTCTGGCCACCTTCCTCCTCATAGCTGTCTCCCCTGCCTCATTCTCCATGGCTTATTCTCCACCCCAGCCCCCTCCTCTCCTGGCTTCTGCTTTGGAAGTTTCCCCTCCAGCTCTTGAGCAGGTGCAACATTCTAAAAAGAGCTGGCTCGCATGAGTCTTGCTCTAATTGCTTGTTTGCTCCAGGCTAGCAGCCTATGACTGTTAGGGTCCAGCTGCTAGGATACACCATTAGCCTCCCTTAGACTCTAAACTCCAAAGACTTGGAGACCTCATTTGTTTAACTGATGCTAAAGGCACAATGCCCCGATACCGTGTCTAAAACTTGACACATGTTCAATACGTATTTATTGAATAAATTGAACAAATGGATGATGAATGAATGATATGTAGGCTCCAGTCCCACTCATTTGTTTTGCTCACAAATAATTGTGGATTTGTAGATGTAACCAACCGTCTTATTCAATAAGAAACACAGAGCCAATACAGAGATGAAAGCCAAGAGGTCAGAGCAATAGCTAAGAGCTAAAAACCTCACCCTTCACTGTCACTGTTGCCCTACCTCTCTGAAAGAGACCTACTTCCTGTGCGTCTGTCTTTTTATAGTGTTTCTGTTCTGTCTTCTCATTGGTTGTAAACCCAACCATATAACCTCCTAGTCACTGCCTGTCTGTACAGACCTCCAGGTCTTCTATGGTTGGTATTGAGATTAAAGGCATGTGTCTCCAATGCTGGCTGTATCCTTGAACACACAGAGATCTACCTAGCTCTGCCTACCAAGTGCTGGGATTAAAGGCGTGCACCACTACTGCCCAGCTTTCGCTATGGCTTGCTAATAGCTCTGACCCTTGGGCAACTTTATTTATTAACATACAAATAAAATCACATTTCAGTACAAATAAAATATCACCATATGGATTGACTTAATAATTTAGATAAAAATCATGTTTCTAAAGAGTCTTGAAATACTTTTAACCCAATGTTACACACCACCCTTTTCAGTTCTTTGTGTTTCTTTCCAAGTGGAATTTCTGGCCCTTTTCCTCTTCAAACTAAAACAAACAAACAAAAACAAAAAACAAAAAACAAAAAACAAAACAAAACAACAACAACAACAAAAAAAAAAACAAAACGTTTTTTACTGAGCTGTCTCAATGGCTGAGCCTCCAAGGAAATGTTCATGATCGCTGCTGTTCCTTTCTGTAAACACTAATGCTGTTGCTTTTGCAGCTAATCCAGCATGCTCATGCTCTGGTATATATTACTAGCACGGTGTTAGTGTAATCTTTTCTTCTGGATTGTAAATTCCTTCAGGCCCTAAGCATGCACATAATATTAACTCCATGGATAAATTAATAGGTTCTTAAAACTTTTAATTCAAGAATAGAAAGAAAAGAAAAAAAACAACTCTGGTAAGCTGGTTTGCAAAGTGTATAAAGGGCAAACCAACAGCCAAGTCGGTCCAGGGGTTAGAAAACGTATTAGCTTCAGTTTATTGTCTAATATTTGTTCCAAGGAGCCTGACCTAAAAATTAATAAAGTAAGTCTTTATATATTCAAATTAACTCAAAAATAGCTACTTGGTCACCAGTTCCTCCCCAGTAATTTCACTTACATGTAAAATCATAGTTATTTCTGTCTGGGAAGGTCAAGTTAGGAAACCCCAAGCATGTCTCTACTCCCAGGCTCCACCGCGGAACCCAGGTGTCTCTCCCAGCCTGGTTTCAGAGGAACTCAAGACAGACCTAACAAGTCCCACCTCAACCCCAGGCGTGGTGGGTGTGGTGGAAGGTAACACAACACGTCTAGCCCCAGGAGGTCCTGCAAAATAAACAAACAAATAAAAGTAAACAAGTTTGGGCTTTGACGGGACAAACTGCTGGGAGGTAACAATGGGAACCAGAGTCTCTCTACAGCGTCTCCACCCATACGACTGAGCCTTTGCCCAGAGCGCGAAGCTAACCCGCCCGCACTAGTTTGTCCCTACGGCCGTCTCGTCTCGTAGACTCGTAGCAACGCAGCGCGTCCTTGGGGGCCACCCTCACTGCTATGGCTACCGGTGGCGGCGTGGCCTCCAAAGAGGGGCTGCGCTACGCCGAGTACCTGCCCCCCTCCACCCAAAGGCCGGACGCCGACATCGACCACGCAGCGGTGAGTCTGCGGGCGGCCGCCGTCCCGCGCTCCCCTCCCGGGCCCCCGCACCCATGGACCCCAAGATCTCCAAGTTTCCCCCCCGCGCAGGCTGCCTCCTCCGCCGAGTGACACGGGGCCACAGAACTGGCCCGTGCACGGTCACTGAAGAGTGCCCCGGGACCCCCTGGGCGGCCTGGGGGGGACCTGGAGGGGCCAGGGGCACCTCCCTGGGCAAAGTAGTTAAGAACCCCGGCGTGAAGAAGGCGTGAGGGAGGAGGGAGAGATGCTTCTCTAGCGTCCCCCCCAAATCTGGAGTTACCCAAACTGGGTCCACCCAGAAAGTGCACGCGATTTATTCAGGCTGAAATAGGTTCTTTCCTTCCCGGGGCTCGAACTCTTGTCGGCCTCACCCTGCGGGTTTCCATTTGTAGGAGTGTAGAGCATTCAGGACCTAAGTTAGGAGGTCTTTTTAGTAGCCAGCCTCAGGCATGCTCAGGTGTGGGTGATTCTCCACCAGTCCACGCCAGTGCCGGTTTTTTATACCAAGAACTTTTAAAAGTTTCCTGTGATATCCTGATAGGAGAGTCAGTAAAGTTATTTTTTTTAGTCAATAGTCTAACTGAAACATAAAGGTGAGGTAACTGTTTCCTTAGTCACATGTTGCCTTTTGAACTTGTAAATGCCTGCGCGCTATTACGTTAGAGGCTGCAATATTACAAAGTGAGCATATTGCTCCCCTATTGCAGCAGTCCAAAGCAGTTGTAAGTGTGACAGCTACAGCCGCCAGCCATCAGGATCTTGATTTTTAAACGGGCACTCACTGTGTATCCCAGACTGGCCTCGACTTAAGGATCCTCCTGCCTCACCCTTCTCACTGCCTGGCTTATCAAATAGCATTCCAATTTTATTTTTATTTTTAATTTCATTTATTTTTTTAAATTTAATTTAATGTTATTTTTAATAATTTTTTTCCAGAAAGGTGGACACTTTGAGGTAATTTTTTGAAAATACCTCCTCAGTTTACAGGGTAACTTCACTTATGGAAAATTCAGTCGGTACTGAAAACAGTAGACACGGTGTAAATGGATGAAAGTTCTTAGCATAGAGGAGCATAAACTGGCTATCGCCTACTTCATGTCACTGGTATCTTGTAAAACCTTAAGGGCCAGGGTTGGTTCTTTATTGCTCTGTTGGCTGGTCTCACATGAAATCGGTAGTCCACTGTCCACAAAGTACCCGTCCTCTTATGCAAATTACTGTGGGACCTCAAAGGGCCTCACAAAATTTTCAGAATGTCCCGGAGCGACCATTCTTGATTTTGTTGAGAGTCCTTGATCCAAAATCAAACCAATGAGGTAGACAAGATTACTGATAATAACTCTAGGTAACTGAAAATAAATGGGAAGCTGACAAAGGGGTACATGTTAGGAAAGGAAAAAAATGGCCTGGCAATTGTAGACATTGATCTGGGTGGTGGTGTCTCATGCCTTTAATCCCAGAAGGTAGAAGGTAGAGGCCTGAGGGAATCTCTGTGAGTTCAAGGCTAGCTTGGTCTACAGAGTGAGTTCCAGGACAGCCAAGGCTACACAGAGAAACCCTGTCTTGAAAAAAGCAAAACAAAACAAAAAAACAGAAAAAGAAAATAGTAGACACTGATGTTTTATAAGTTAAGGAAAACCTTTTCATTTACTGAGATGTATTTTGATATTTATAGACTATATCTCTGTGTCTGTTCTTATCAAATAACTCTTTTTCTTCATGAAGCTTATCTTTATTTATTTATTTGTTTATTTTGGTTTTTCGAGACAAGGTTTCTCTGTGTAGCTTTTGGAGTCTGTCCTGGAACTCACTCTGTAGACCACGCTGGCCTGGAACTCACAGGGATCCTCTTGGCTCCGCCTCCCAAGTGCTCGGATTAAAGGCGTGTACCACTACCACCTGGCTATGAAGCTTACCTTAATGGATTAAGATGTAATGTTCATTAACCTGTATGAGAGGCTGAATAAAACAGGCAAAATACTTATTGTATATAAGTATTTATATAATCTACAATTGTTTGATAGATGCCATTGTCAAAGGTGGTCTAGCAAAATTACTTCTTATGGAAAAGGAGAAAAGAAACTTAAGTTGGGAATAGACTATTACCAATATTTAAAAGAGTTTATATAAAACCAAGTTTGAACTGGTAGCCTTTGAGTTCCATTACTTTTCCAGAAAGCATAATATACTATTAGGATAGTAAAACATGTAAGACAATTAGCCACCTACATTTCATTATAACCACCACTTAAAGGCTAAAACCTATCAATATATTAGCTAAAACCTTATTCTTATTATGTACTAGTAAGCATTTGTTGCTCCCAAATAATGGAACACTCCTATCTTTACCATCCATTAACATCTCCTAAGACATACTTGGAAACTTCTCTTGGCAATCACGTGGATTATATTTTGTGATTTTAACCTTGATTATTATAATATTTTAACCTTGATTCTGTCCTTGCTTTACCATGGCATAAGCTGTATTTATAGATTGGTATGACTGTCCAGCATCTATGTTAGTACTTGATATGTAGTAGTATTCGAATCAGAAATGTTGCTTTGGAATAGGAAGGAATGAGAAGAATGATTTTCTCAAAAGACGGAGAGTAAGTATTTCCATTTGCTTATCAATGAGTCCTACAAACAAAAACACAAAAATTTAGCTTATCTAAAATGTACTTGTTATGTGATCTGTCCCCAAGCATGCTGATTCTCCTGTTATTTCCCATGTCTTGCGTAAAGCCATCAACTCTTCTTTTCCTTTAATTCTGACCTTGAATTACCTAGGTTGATCTCTGATCTGCTTTTGACTCTTTATTGCTGTTCTCTTCGTCTTTACCATCTCTCCTCTGTAGCAGAGGATTACCTGTTGTAATACACTTTAACCACTGGTCTCTCTGCCTTGATGGCTCACACTTTCTAAACATCACACTGCCGCCAGTTATTTAGTACAGCACAGATCAGTAAGGAGGCCACTCCTGTTATCAAACCGTGAAGCTACCCAGCTCTCAGCTTTCGTCAGGGTGGAATACGGGACAGTTCATGTGTTAATCCTTGGTGGCTTCACCAGCCACATTGCCCATCCTTTGGACTACACATTCACTGCATGCTGTAGTTAAATTGGGTTTCCATTTCTATATGGAATTTCCTACTCCTATGACATTTTTAAAGCTTTCTCTTCTGATTAACATTCTTTGCTGAAATAAACTTCTACTTCCTTTTTGAAGACCCTTGCCTTAGAGCCTGCCCTGACCCCTGTTCCTCTTCTGCAGCAGGAGAAAATTGTCTCCTATTCATTTGCTTCGAAGGTTATACAAGCTTTTATTATAGTTTATTATTATCGCTCTGATGGTCAGTCCCCACTGTCAGCTTACCGAGATTACATCACCTAGGAAACACACCTCTGGGTGTGTCTGTGAGGTTGTTTCTAGAGAGTGCTAACTGAGGAGGGAGAACCTACCCTGAGTGTGGACAGCTTCAGCCCAGGAGACAGACAGAGTGTCCTGAGAACCAGCTTTTATCTTCCTACTTCCTGACTGGAGATGCCTGTGCACCAAACCATGAGCCAAGAATCCTTCATTCACTTTATTTCTTGAATCAGCCCCCCTTTCTTATTTTTAGGAAGTCTCATATGGCCCAGGCTTCCCTTGAATTCTCTAGGTGTAGAGGATGACTTTGAACTTCTGAAGCTCTTGCCTCCAACTCCAGAGTGCTGGCATTGCAGGCGTGTGCCGCCATATCATGTGCATGCTTAACTTGCTTTCCTTGGGTATTTAGTTGTAGCAACAAGAAAAGTAACTAATACATTATCAAAATGATTTATATTCATATTTTTGTAAGCACCTAAAATGTACGTTTTCCATGGTGTTGTAATTGGAAGATGGTATTCATGTAGTTGTTTACTAAAAAGTTAGTCTTTTACTACATAGCTATAGTATGTGGGTATTTGATTCCCATATCATATTGGTACATATTTTTGCTATTGGCTGTAAAGGAGGATAAGAAACATGAGTACATATCTGTCTTGTTCACTATTCTTTCTCCAGAGCTTAGTAAAAGGCCTGGCGTGTTTATATGGTAAATGCCAATTAAATAATTATTTAGTGTGTGCTTCCTTTTTCTGTCCCAACTATCACTCCTTGAGAAGAACTTTTTTTTTCTCCTGTTCTTGTATCCCTCTGGCACAATTATTGTCTATCTTGAATTCCAGTGATGCAGCCTCAAGACAGATGTTTTAGCATTTTAAAATGCTTTCAGGCAATTTATACTTATCTAGATGATAGTTATTTACTGCTTATACTGTTTGGGAGAATAAAATGCCACAGGGAAATTTTAAACAGTTTTGATGTGATTAAAAAAAAATTAGCAGCAGCAGCTGGGGTGGAGTGAGCTGTTTTCCTAGTTTTCTACTTTTTTTTTTTTTTAATTCATGGTAGTTGAACATTTGAATAATTTTCCATCTCACACAATGGAAGGAAGGAACCAACTTCCATAAGTTGATCACCGTCTTCCACATGTGTGCAGTGGTGTGCCCATCACCCCCGCCAAATAGAACCCCCCAAATTTTAAGTTTGATTATTCTTGCTTAATATATTGTTTGGGAAACATTGGGTGTGTAAATGATAGAAACTGGGTTTGTGTATGCAGAATGTGTATAAACCAGGATTTATAAACCTATGTATAAACTACCTCCAAGGTCAGAGAACAGCAAGCCTACTTCATAAGCAGGTACTAAGTGTTTTAGGCTCTGCAACCTTGTAATAACTCCTCTGTTATTATGGTGGGTATTTATAAAGCTGGATCCAGTTCAGGACAGATGTGTTAATGCTATCATTTTTTTTCATTCTCTAATGCATGTTTATTATTAGTGTAAGATGCCTATTCTAAATGCTGTGGTAAATCCAGAGTCAAATCAGGTGGGAATTTTGCCCTTAGGAGACTTGCTCAGTCTCCAAGCCTAGGGACTCCTCAGCAGT